GCGCTGTATCCATTTTTCCTTAGCACGTCCTGTACATGGGACAACTCATCTGCTAAGAAGTCAGTATAACATAATGCATTAGCCCTGTTAACTTAAGAGTTTTCTCCACAGAAAGTAGGTGTTGAGGATGATGATGAGATGAAGCGTGGAGGTACTTGTCTGTGTGTTGGTTTCCTGTAGACAGTGTGTTACAGGGACCCATCAGCTTGCGCCATGACTTTAACGTCCAGAAAAGATAAGGTTTTGTCACTCTCTAACTCATAGGTGAACTTGAGATTCGGATGGATATTATTGACGTATGTAAGGAACTGCTCAATCTCCGGTTTGTCGCCCTTCAGGATACAGACCACGTCGTCTACATACCGTTTCCACATACGGATTCCATTTGACTGGTGATCTATCAATGACTCGACATGTTCCATCCATATATTGGCCAAAAGTGGCGCTACCCATGGGGACACCATTAATTTGAAGGTAATGTTTGCCGCGATATAAGATATAGCTGCCATCTAAACAGTTCCGTAATAGAACCATGTACCCTTCCGGTATATCGTTTTGTCTAAGTTTCATCCTAACAACTTCTAGACAGTCCTTAACTGGAACTTTGGTGTACAGCGACTCAACATCAAAACTCACCATTACGTCATCCGGATCCAGTTTTGTACCATCAAGGATCTGTATAAAATGACGCGAGTCCTTCACAAAAGATGTTGTAGTGCCCACAAGCGGTTGCAGTACGGAAGCAACGTGTTTTGCCAAATAATAAGTAGCTGAGTCAATCTGACTCACAATCGGTCTCAGTGGAACGCTGATTTTATGTACTTTCGGCAAACCGTATAATTTTGGTGGTTGCACTATCTTCCGCTTGTATAGGTTCTCGAAGATGTCCTCGGTGAAAACGTGTTTATAGTCCCTGATAACAGCACGTATTCAGTCTAGCCAGGCTGTTAATACAATCTTTTTAATTTAAATAACTGTTATTCTTTGGATTCTACCTATTAAAGGTAAGTAGTAAACATGGATAGATATGAACCGTGACCATCCTGATATCAGATAATGAAACATAACTTACCAAATAGCATAATAAATTATTGAAAATCACGGAAATTTCTATTAATGTAAAGAAGTTCTTGCTTCAAAATTAATAATAAAAACACCGTGGTTCACCTGAAAATAAATCGATAAGGCTTGCTGAACACAGTGACCTTCTCCAGGTGTCGCGGCATATGATCTGGTCGCCCGTCCATGTCTAACGTCACTAAGGGAGGTGGTGATACATCCAAGCAACCTGCCGGTCAATAAGAAACATATTTTATTTTCAGAGATGTCACTTATCTTGGATACAAGTATTTGAAATACAGATACAAGATACAAAATACGTATTTTCATCTTGTATCTAAAATACTTTTTTTTTAGGAAGGATTTTGTATCTTGTATTTAAATACTTTTGATTAGTATCTTTTAAATACTTTTTCTGATAAAATACTTTATCTTTGACGTGCCACAGACGTGACGTGCAGTCTGCATACAAACATTTGTAGATTACTGTTTACAATTTGTGCAGCACCACCTACCTCCACAATAAAAGCAGCATGGATTATTAATTGAGCTAACTGTTTTCTCGCGACTTCCATTAAAGCCTACGTCACCCGCACATAAAATATATTTTTTTAAATCGGTTCAGAGCCTATTTGATGCAAACATTATGGACCAACTGTTAAACTGGGCGGTAAACATAATGCCCGGTCATTTTGATAAATGACTAATGTGAGAGAGCAATTTCATAATAATTAATCAAATAATCAAATTGACCGGGCATTATACATATTGTTCATTGCCCGTTGGGCAGAGTAATATAAACATATTTAATTAAGTAGTATTAATTTCTTTATAATGGGCTCACTTTTGACTTCGATCTAGCTCAAGGACATCGATATGATCACTTAAATTAAATGTTAAAAATTTAAATGATCAATCTTATTATTTGGATTAATTAGCAAGGATTTCATACATTCAGAATCCACTAGTTTTTCTAGTTCAAACACCCTCCCCACCACACGCCAAAGAATAGAGAAGCATAGTTAAGAAGAAAAAAGAAAAAGAAAATTTTATCATCCAGATAAACAAAATTTAGAACTTATTATATAGACATAAAAGTTTTGTTTTCTCGTGAAAAAAAAATGACATACAAAATTAGGAAGACCAAAAAAATTTACTGTTATCTATTTTAAAAAACATAACATCGAAATTCAATTATGTGCATACCTAACCTCGAGTATCAATTTCAAATCACGTGACCTACAGAGCCAACATATGTAACTTCGCTTATTTGAAATTTTGCTTTATTATCAAATTGCCCAATTGTCATATCGCTATATAATAATGACCGTGCAATCTGATAAACAATAAAGTTTAGATATAAATTAATCACTTGGCCCTATAGAGCTAAAGATTATTCATAATGCTCGCACGTTATTAATAATGTCCGCATTAAACACCTGGTCCATAACACAAACACAAACAGACATTCAAATATTTCCTTGATCTTCAGATACAAATTATCTATACTAATAATACGACATATTAGTATAGATAATTTCTCCATAAATAAAAAATTATTATCTAAAAGGGGGAAAACTAATACTTAGAAAGTACCTAGTTTTCCTTGATATCACTCACGGAAATAAAAATGACATATAATACCTATTTCCACTTTAAGACTTAAAACCAGTATTAATTTATTTTATTTTCCATTCATCCGGATTCGGTCGAATTAAAAGAAAGGACACGAGCATCCTTATTCATGGAAATACTTGCCGGATGACATAAAACAGCTGTTGATTACAAACTCTATAAAGTGACGATCACTTTGAGAAGATATTAATTTTAGTAATATTAAATAGACGATCGAAATAAAATGTTCTATACCTATTAAATTAAATAAACAACTTATATAAATACACATTTCAATCAACTTGAAAAGTAAATAATTGAACACATTGACTTACTTTTCATTTTCGTATTATCGTTCACAATGTTATGGTGACCATGAACCAATTCCAAATTGGATAAAACTTTAAGTCCATGATTTTTGTTGTTACGTGTAAACTATAATTGTTAACATATTATATTAAGATACAATAACACAAGTCACTGGGTGGATGGGTCGGAATACTCTGAAACATCACAGACTGGGTTTTTTGCATGTGTATAATACGGTTTTTCCAACATAACTCGTAGATACGGACGGACATTTAAGTCACATTGCTATCATCAAAACATATCTGTGAGTTTAAGACTCAATACTATCAAGATATTGATATATTATTTGTCTTTTAATTTGATGTAAGTAGTATTTTAGTTTTTGTTTAATCTCTTCTAATGATATCTGTAGATATTATATATACTTATTTAATTATGTCAATCGTTTAAAATGCGGTATGTTGGTCGATGACCTTGGTTAATATACATAAAACCAGTTAGGACCTCATATTTCTATAATATATTTGAGAAACTTTTGTATTAAATTATATTATTTAAGTAACTTTATTTGTATTTTGCCAAAATTGTTTAGGGTCAGTGCAAATCTGACGGAAGATCCGTCGAGCGTTTTACACTGTGGTCTTACGTGAGTGTGCATTAGCACGCGGAGGATCAACCGTCGAGTGTGCAACTTTGAATGTCATCCCACTTTCTACTGAAATTGAAAGTGTGAGTTTGTTACCATTTCATGCAAAAACTACTGAACGAATTTTGATGAATTTTTACATAATTATAATTTATAATAAACTCATTTTAATAACCTCTTTTGGATCATTAAAAATGTCTCAAAATCCTTTGTTTTTATAAAACACATATGAGTACTCGTCTTTTTCGTAGACTAAAGTAGGGTTTTATTATATTTGTTTTAAAACGTAACAAAACCTTTCCCTGGCAGTATTTTAATGCACTCTCAATGATCTCACAGTTAAACCTGTGGTACTTATGCTTAAGAACGAAGATAAATAAATACAAAAGCAAAATTATTTTTTAAAAGCTTTTATTTAACTCGCAATGTATGTAAGTATGTTTGTTCGGATGGAATCTTTGAACTCAATTTTGAAGCCTTGAAGAATCTTCAACCGATTGAGTTGAAATTTTGTATACACGTTAAGTTTTATAATAATTCATGATAAGGTATGTGACGTCATTCTAAATCCAATATGGCGGACAATTCATGATGGCGGAATAGTTATTTTTAATCCACTTCTACAAAATGGGTATCAAATGAAAGGGCTTGCGAGAATAGTAAGAAAAATATTGTAACATCACTCTAAATCCAATATGGCGCATCACTGAAGATTTTTATACTTTAAAAAAAATTAACGGCAAACGAACTTGCAACAATAATGCATTGAATGAGATGAATAGACTGAGGCACCTAGCCAATGATAACTAAAAAGTAAAAAATAAACTAAAATCAAAAATCCTTTTAAAAAAAATCTTTTATTAAAATGCTCTAAAAAAAAGAAAATAAAATTTTTCTTTTAAATTTTAACTACCATCTCGAGGTTCACCTGGTGAGGTTTAATAAGTACCTATCTTTATTAAATATTTTACTTTTATGTCTATATAATAAATAAATTTAGTAAATTTTACAGTTTATTTACATAACTAATTCGCACTATAATCTTTTATGATTATATAAATTGTGTGTAATGAGGTTATAAGTTGGTAGGTAATTAAAATTTAAAAGGTATATTTTTAGAGCGTTTAAATAAAAGGCTTTTTTTAATGTTTCTTTTGCTTTTAATTTTAATTTTTAAACTTCAATAATATAAATAAAAGACCGTAAAACAGGCAGACAAAATTTCATTCAAATCTCCTTCGTGGAATGTGGTTTAAACAAAAAATAAACATCTGACATTCCAAATTTGAAACTGATCATGTGCAGTTGCTGAATCATAGTGACTGTACGTTTTGTGATATTTTGATACAGAAAATACTTATTGGTTTGTAAAATGCCGGAGAATGTGATGCCAAAGATACCACAGAGCCCCTCGCCGGTGGCCCGAGCTGGGGCAGGAGATATATCTGAGAGAGAGCTCTCGAGAGAGAGACACAATATGCAGACACCCACGTATGTAGAACAACACTTTGATTAAATAATGTAAAAGGTAGAAAATAAGCTATAGATTCCTGAAATGTAACAAATCCATGAAAATTGAATTCTTGGAATTTGTTCATAAACCCACCTATGAGTTAAATTAAACTCAAGTCATATAACAAATTGACAATTATATTAAAATTAATATATTTTATCAATGTTGCATTCATAATGCTATACCTACTGGTAAATAATAATGCTATACTGGTAAATATTCTTAATGAAAACTGCTTAAAAATCCACTCCCATAATCATCATCTAGAAATAAGTCCCCTAGTTACCACTAAACTTCACAATCTTTCGTTTTCTTTTTATCTAGGTATAATCTTATTATTATAGGAGGTATTCAAACCGGTTTGTAGTCAAAGGAGTTTATGCAAAAGATTACAATTATTGTAATGGTTTTCATTGCCGTCCAGGCGGCATGATAGAGATGAGGACTGTCTCTAAGGCCAGTCTTAAAATCGTTGCCGTTTTTTAGGCGAGTCCAACCCGTCAATCCCAAGAAGCAGCTGTTCTCAGCGCCTGTCAATAAGTTCACCGGGAAGGCCAGCGCTCCTAACCCCAACCTTGCGCGCCTGCGCAGCTGCCTCGATGAATACTGCCTCGCCACCCCAAACAGGCCCGCCATAGTCAGACCAAAAGCCGTTTCCATGGAAGACCTTGCGCCGAAAAGAACCAACTTTCAAAGGTAATTCGCACTGTTTCATGTTTAAGATAATCAGCTTACATTAAATTACATACATTCCCGCAGCTGTGATAGTTAGACGGTGGTATTATGCTTTTCTGTTGTTTAATTACTCGCATCTGTATTTGTTACTATATTTATTTATGTGTACAAGAAGGGAATGTAGAGGTCCACATTAAAAATAAATAAACGATAAATGCAAAATGAATCAAAAATAATAAGCTTAATTTTTTTTTCAAAACAGCTGTACCCTTCGCGCTTTGAAAACAGTCGCTGGATTAACGCCTATTAAAACAGCTGTTACTTGGATCGGAAGCAGTCTGGCGGAATGTGCAGTAGCTAGAAAGTTTCAGTGGCAACAAGCTTTTATTATTTTTACTTGTTTTAGGCAGTTGCATTTTTCCAGACAGTTATTATTATTCGTTATAAACAACGTCAATGGTGTTGATTATAATCTGATAAGTTAACATTCAACTGATGAATGAAATAGAAACAATGAGAATGTGTTCGGTAGGAATGAGAAGGTAATGTCTCGGGCGAGGTCCCCGGGGCTGCACACGCTGGTGGAGGAGCAGGCGGCGGCGCGCGTGGCGCGGTTCATGGTGCTGAGCGCGTGGCGCCGGCGCCGGGCGGAGGTGCGCTGTCTGCGCAGGACGCTCGAGTGCCAGGTGGGTACTCGGGGTGGGCTATACGTTGGGCCTATATACTATACACTATACAGTACTGAAAGCCAACAACCACCAATTATCGTTTATGAAGGCAACTTTTACATTATCTTTTGATTAATGCTACAGTTCAGATGGATCGCCAATGGAAATGTCGCTATTTCTGTTAAGAGTAAGATGGTAGGAAAACTAGATTAACAATACAAAAATGCTTTCTTTAATAACAGATAATGACATTTCATACCACATAAGCATTTGTTTTGGTTAATGTACAGTTCCCCTGGAATTGGATTGTAGGTACTAAATTTTTTAAGCTTATTTAAAAAAACAATACTTCGCAAAAAAAATGTTAGCAACAAAAATAATGATTGTTTACCTATAATAAATTATGATGGTAGGCACCATAATAGGCCGCTTGCTGATCTAATTGTTATTCTTGGAATTGCATAATATACTAATAATATTAGTCCACTAAGACCTCTCCTCTTATTAAGTACTAAGTATCATTTTTGAAAGGTTAATCTACAATTTTTTGATGTTTATAAGAATATCCTTAGAAAGAAAATTGAGGATTCCGTCCGATCGCTCAGTTAACACATTCAATATAGCTTTCAATTTTGATCGGTACAGTAGCTTAAATGTTACGGTATGATGCTTGGAAACTGCATACGTAATAAACAGATAAGAAAGTTATGTGAACAAAAGGAAAGTAGAGGATAGGAGTATCTTCAATATCCATCTGTGAAAACGTGTCTCGATGTAGAGGTTTTTTAGTTTGAAGATTTATGGCAAACATGTTCTCTTGTACTGTAAAATAATGTAGAGAACACAGAGATTCTTCCATTTTCATCGATAAATAAATAGGCCCGTATTTACGATTTTTTTTTACCGGGACAGAAACTTCGTATATCCTCCTTCCTACGCTCCATGAGATCGAATTTTATATTATATTTTGCTTTTATTTCATTTAGAGATTTTGAAGCATGTCCATTTCCGCCCAATCGTAATGTGTATGAAAAGATTTATAAATTCATTTTTTTACTGTAAATACCTATGTATTATATAAAGATGCTTTTGGCGCTCCTCCGACACTGGCGCCCAGGGCCAGTGCCCCGACCTACCACTAAATCCGGGCCTGTAAATATAATTGTATCGTTTCAAGTACTAGTGGGAACCAAAAGAAATGGCTCGCGTTGATGTCTTTTTTAAAGCTATTATAATTTTTTGTTCTCTCTATATATTTCATTCTAAAAGAGATACGTGAATACAAATAGCTTACCTAATAAAGATGCCGTGTAATTAATAGAGAGGAACACTATAATTCTTTATATTGTAAATGAATGTTATTATTTTTACTAAGGTTTCTGTTTTGTTAATGGTTCCTTTGACTTCCGTTTTTTAGACATTATTTATCAGTTGTTAGTCGCAAAAATATATTTAGATTGTGAGTTCATAATCTAAATATATTGGAGCGACTTTTTTAACAAAATAAAAATTTTGAAACCCGTTCTCCGCAATCTATAGATGCGATTAGGTTGAGAGTGAGCATCTATTACATAGTGAAAAGTAATATTCGGGAACCTTATATATCTACAATCTGTTCGAGTGTTTTCGTAAACATAAAAAACAGCTTGCATTTACTATTAGATTTACTTTTCTTACTTTACTCCCACATTCGAAAAATAACATTGTATGGTACTTAAAAACATATTTTATGTGATCTCAGTGCAACTTTATAGTTGTATATTGTTGATTCTCAGAGTTTTCCTATTATAACGTCTGGATGTATCAGTTATCTAATTGCTTATTACGTGTACGTCCACGTCGTCTGTTCCAGCGTTCTGGTTGTGACGCGACGAGTGCGTGCGCGCATGCGTCATACCTACTTTGAGATGGGTTTTTCCTTATATTTTTGCATTTGGGAATAAAGTGAGATAATGGGGCTCGTGGCCGCTACATTTTCTTCTAATGTTTACCTCCATTGGGAGGTAAACATTAGAAGAATGGTACTTAAACTTTTCGTTGATAACTACTAGAATGTAATATGTAATTCTATGAGCCATTAATCATACGTACGTACAACAGAATTACGTTTCGTTGATAACTTGACATTTGTTTTAGTGGTGTTCTGCTCACTTTCAATAATGTACCTTTTTTTGAAATTCGAGTATTTAGACATTTATTAATAACTAGCTATTTTCCCGCGACTGCCCGCGTAAATTAAAGCCTCTGCCATGCCAACCACGTTGGTATGATGTAGGTAGCTTCCCATTAGGTGAAAGATATTCAAGTTCGGACCAATATTTCCGATTTTACTCCTGCAAAAAAGTTAGAACTTTAACCGCTTTATAATATTAGTATAGATATACCTAACTAGCTATTCGTTAGTATTCTTGTATATTTTTATATTACTTGTTATTCTTATATAATGATGTAGCTTACTATAGATAAAAAGAATTTTAAAATCGGTCCAACACTCTTGGAGCATGTTCAACGAAAACAATCAAATCATTAAATCTTTCCTCTTTATAAAATTAGTATTGATTAGAAACTATTGTTTTAATAAACTCTAATAACAAGCGAGTAATCGTAATTTAATGGGTGATATTAATAAAGTACATTGTGCAATGGGAAGTGTCTCAAAAATAATTCGCCTCAATGAAAATAAAGTTACATCAAGTATTTGTCTAAAAAGTGGATTCCGAATGAGAATATTTTAATTACACATGAAATTTTAAATATATTAAAAATGTGATGGTCGACAGGTGTCATGTTCGGAACGGCTGCGCATGCAGGTGTCAACGTTGAAGACTCTGCTGGAGGGCGACAATTGTAAGTTGCGGCTGGCGATGCGCGAGCTGGAGCGACTGAAGCAGCTGCTGCGGGACAAGGACATCGAGAAGGCACTGCTGGAGCGGGTAACGTGTCCTATAATATCATGCTATACAGCGGTGCTAGCGTAGTCACGGTTGTGGCCTTACATTATTAATTAATTTTCTTAATTAAAATTGTTATTTAATTTCCTCCGCAGTAGAGTGGATCACACGCCAGTTTCAAGGAATTGCCATCTTTGAGGTCACGGGTTTGATTCCCGGTCAGGTTAATATAGAAAATTTACTTTTCTATATTGTTTCGAGTTTGAGTATGATGGTACTTTCGTCGTCTCAGATACTCCATAACAGGGGGTGTTAACGCACAATATTGTAGTGCGGCCGCGGCGGCCGGTGACAGTGACGATATCACGTTCTTTCGCCTACGGTTTACGTCGTCGGCCACGAGAGGGGTCTGCTATATAAACCACTAAGATTCAAGTCCCCGCCGAGCAAACACGTTACCTTAATTTTAAATGATATCAAAAATATTGTAAGCATATGTAATATACCGATTTAAAGTTGCATAGCGTGTTTATATTCACTCGTCCAAAGTACAAGCCTCACCAGGGGGTTTTTATTACTTATCTTAGAATCTGAGCAATAGAGCAATGTATGTGAATGTTGTTTAATATTATCAGTATTAATTATTATATTTTATCTAAATGTTTGCATTTGACCTTAACTGTTACGCTATTTATCTAAAACTGCACTTGACCGTTTGATAAGATGATACATCGCTGCAAAACAAAAGTAATTATTCCAATCGATACTAGGAATTTGTTGCAAATAATAGGTATAAACAAATAATAGGACTCCGACAATTTGTTAATAATATAAAAAATGGGAAACTGATTTCCCAAAGAGCGAAACAGCGATGAATTCGTTATATTAATTATATACGAATGCCAATTATATTCGATATGGCCATGACTAACTCTGGGAAAATGTAACCGGTGTCGTAACACACGGGGGCGTCCTCTCTTGTAATGGTAATACTGATCAGGCACGCGCCAACTGATATTGTTGTTGGTCTGAACAGGAAAAGACGGAGCTCGAGCGCGACGTGTGCGCGGCGGAGGACCGCGCCTCCGAGATGAGCGTCGGTGAGATTGTCGTGCGACTGATCCATAACTATATAGTATTACTCGCCTTTGCCCGCAACTTCGTTCGCGTGGTATAGGTATTTTGGGTAGCATTTCTAAAAGAGCTAAAACAAATATAATTCATACCCGAATACAAAGCTTCACGCGCAATACATACCAAAAATCTGAAGCTACTAAAACTAAGACGTTTGTCTTAGTTTTTTCGTTTTTCACTTCATTACTCATTCAACTCCCGCCAAGAAAGTACAAAAAAATGCTCCGCAAAAACGAAGAAAAACAGTGGATAAAATACGATTCTCTTTCACAAATACACATAATACGAAAGAATATTAAGTTTCACACTTAAGTCATTAACATTTTTGGCAATAAATACAAAATTAAAGCTAGGTTATAAAATAAAAATATTTAATTTTCACAAATAAAATTTCGACATTTTGTCGATCAGTGTTGCCACTGCTATTCACTTTCAATTTTCCCAAGTATATGGGAGCCTTTTCTTTTTATTTTACGTGGCTATAATTTATCTAAATATCTAAATACTTTTATAATTAATTATATAGCTCAGCTTAGTATAGGCAACTGCGCTAATTGTGTTGATAATTTTTTTATACACGCACACAGATGCTAATGTGGTTTAATTTTTTCAATGCGTGGAATTATATTACGAGATACAACTTTTGAAAATACGTAAAATTGAACCTTTGTTTGATGTTTTATGAACTTTGACAAATGTTTTTGTCTTAGCCACTGACTTTATCGAAAAACAAAGGGATATATATGCACAGAGCCTACTTTCGTGATTGTTCTTTTTTTCAAAGAAATTTTCAAAGTTACAGTATTTTACTAATTGATTTTATACATATATCTACACTACTCATTCATTCATCACAATGGGTGAAATTTTCGACAGCTGGCAATACAATATCAATTACCCATTTTTCCGTTCATTCTGTCGTTCTGCGTGCGTCATTTTTTCATATTCAGCCTAAAGCCATAGACTAGCTTAATGAATAAAAAAAGATAGCGGTACTATAATGAGTATTGTGATACAGTAGACGGTAGTATAATTTGTTGTCATTGCAGTTGCTCATAAAGCGCTATTTTTTTTATCCATTGTAAACATCGAAAGTGAGTCTTTAAACACGTGTTAAATAAAAATGTACTGAAATCCTTTACTGCACACGTGCTTAAAAGTATTTTTTTTTAACCGAGCACCAAAGAAATTAAAAAAAAAATTGATGAAAACATGTTCAAATATCACGTTTAATTTTAACAAATAATTTTTACCTTTAATACGTACTTAGTTTTATTAAAAATGTTGTAAGAAACTCGAGCGTAAAAGGTTTTTCGAATTCGTGCCAATGAAAACCCTCGCTACGCTCGTGTTTTACCTTACCTTCCGTACTCGTATCTTAAATAACTATTATTTTGAATTTGATGTATATGTGTTTATAAAGTGCGTATGTCGCACGTCGAGAATGACAATGTCACTAACCAAAAACGACGTATTTTTTACTTTTGGCAACATTTTTCTTCGTTACCTATAAACTTTAAAATGCAAAGATCCCTGTGAACGTAGCTCGCATAGAAACTGCTAGGTAGTGTAGGGACGATACGTTGTTTAGAGGAGCTGTTTACTATTTCTTGAACTTTAAACGCTCATTACTCAAAATCGCATTTTTTGCATTGTGTCACTATCGTTCTCAACGTGCGATGTTTAGAATCGTGTTTGAATTGTCGATGTGAGTGTACGGTGGTACAGGTTGGCGCAACTGCCGCAACGAGGCGGAGGGCGCGCGCGCGGCGGCGGCGCGGCTGCAGCGCGCGCTGGCGCTAGAGCGCGCCGCCGCAGCCGACGCGCGCGCGCAACGGGACCGCGCCCACCGCAGGGTAACCGCCGCGGCGTCTATAGTCTATTCATCTTCCTCTGAGACAAAATGTAAACAAACTGGAAAAAGGTTCTTTAATATGTCAAAATATTGATGCATTTAAAGTTAATGAAAAAAGAAAGTGACATTATAAACACCTAAAATTGAAGCTGTTCCCAAACATTTGACGTATTATAATACTACTAAATTGAGGAGTAGTGATAAGACAAATACTTTACGTAGAAACGTGAAATTTTGTAATTAGTCGGGTTATACCGGCCATTTTTACTCTCCATCGACTCGTTCACTCGTGCAAAATGCTTTAGTTAATTTCTTGTTATTTGTTTATTCCATTTGTTAAGTCTGTTGTTTTCTGTTATTGCTAAGTTTTAAGTTAAATGAAATGAAATCTTTTTTAATCGATGCTCTAAAAAGGGTAACAGTAGGAACTAAAGTGCATTGACCATGTCATAAAACAGGAACAAAAATTTTTAAAAATTAATGGTATCATAGATGTATTGGTTGACCGTTTTGTGATAGAAGTTGGTGCGACTAGTTCCTCAGAGGAAGACGAGGAAGATTCTGAATAAAATTATGTGACTCTTACAATTGCTTTTTGAAAAAGAAATAGACTTATTGTATTGCATACCCACCATACAATAATTTGTCCCATTAACAGATGTTATTTACATACCAACATCAATAAAAAGATTTGAGAAACATTGGTTAATTTGTTTACATTTTGTCTCAGAGGAAGTTGAATAGACTATAGTGCACTTTTGTAGATTTAGTAAATAAAGTTTCTGCCCCGGTTGGAAAGAATTGTAGGTCCGGGCTTGATGCCCCTACGGGGTCTTATTCCGCCCCTGACCAGCCATCATCGTATGTTAAATATATATGTATTATTGTTTATATGTTGTTGTGTTTATTTTGCTCATATATGTTAGTTGAAAGTGTGTATTCCTAAATAAAAAAAACATTGACTGTGGAATGCGTTTCACAATCCTCTTTCTTGGTATAGTAAAACAAAACCCTTAACCGGCGAAACTTGACAAATGATTATTATTTGATTAATCGGTACTTTAACATGTTTGTTATTGTTAAAGTTAATTGCTGCGACTAACCCTTAATATTTTAATGCTATTTTCTCGCGACTTCGCCCCCGTTTATTATGGTCTATGTCACCCGCTCGTCTATAATGTAGATTTCTGCAGCTGAGAGAATTTTTATATAAAATTTCAGAGCCTATTCGATGCAAAGAGACAATTATATCGTTATAATGTTAGTAAAATAATGGATAATTTGAATGACCGATTCACACATTTAATCGACAGAGGGCTATTATTTTTCGTTTTCGTGAGATCTCGACCATTATTAGCGAGATTTATCTCGGTCAAAAATGAGCGGGATCTCGCGAGTTAAACGAGATTGCATTCAAGTTTAAAAGCGACTTATTCTAATTGCGGCAGCGGTGAACATATCCGGGGAGTGCAAAGGCGAAGTTTTATACTTTTACAGTTTTTTTTCTGAAAGGGCCTACTCAGCGCCTAGTCATCTGGCCACTTTTTTCAATTTTAAAATGTTTCATAAAAATGGCGTGTAAGGTGAACTGAACAAACCTTTTATTGATTGGTAAATTTTATAAATTTATTCTCTGTTTTCTAAATTATCTGTACACAGTTTTCTTTAATTGATAATAATATATCAGTTTAATAGTCAATTCAACTTAGTTAATTAGTTATATTTTAATTTTTGATTTTTTGTTGTTGTTCTAAAAAAACTGTTTTACTTTTAAATAAAATTTGTTTGATATTAGCCGAGAAGGCTGGTTGTTTATTTCATTTTGTATTTGATTAGATACGTCCAAGTTTACTACCCCGGATTACTGAGCCTTATTCGGTAGTTTTTGTTGGTAAATGAAACCTAACTAAATCGGTTTATAGCACTTGAATACTAAATTTAAGTGAAAATTGTTGAGCCGTTTCCGAGATTCAGATTATAAAACAGGAATTGCTCGTTTAAAAGTAAAAAAAAATATATATTATTGAAATAAGCTATTTTTTAACACCTTTGCTCGTAAAGCTGATATAATTCCACCGGTCTTAAATATGTAAAGCGG